GATAGATTGACTCATCACGATATCGCTGGAACTATAAGACCTAGAGACTTGAAATTTGGTAGGAATATTACTTTTGCCACGTAGAGGTCAGCTAAGAACGGATTTTAAGAAATTCCTTAACCAAAGGGGTTTGCGGGGGCGTTAACAATGAAAAATTACCGTTTTTAAACTATAGCTCCTATCGACTCCAAATTTGGATAGAATCTTCTGTAAAAGATGTAGAAATAACTTATGAACGAATTTTACGATATCTCACCCCACAGGGGGTTGCGGGGGTGGGTGTTAACAATAAAAATTTAAAATTTCTGAGTTGTAGCTCTTATAAGCTCCAAATTTGGTAAGAATCTTCTGTATGTGATGTGAAAATGATTTAAGGCAGATTTTATGACAACCTCCTCTCAATATGGATTGCGGGGGTGGATGTTAAGAATGAAAATTTTAAATTTCTAAGCTATAGGTCCTACATGCTCCAAATTTTGTAGCTGTCTTCTATGTGAGATGAAGAAATAATTCATGAACGAATTTTACCGTATCCTACCCCAAAAAAGATTGCGGGGGCGTTAACAATTAAAAATTCCCGATTTCATACTATAGCTCTCTAGACTCCAAATTGGGTAGGAATTTTTTGTAAGAAATGTAGAAATAATATACGAACGAATTTTACGATAGCTTACCTCACAGGGGTTTGCGGGGGTGGGTGTTAACTATTAAAATTTTTTAATTTCCAAGTTACAGCTCCGATAGTCACCAAATTTGGTAGGAGTTTTTTATTTGTGATATAGAAATGATCTAAGAGCGAATTTTACGACGAACCACTCTTAATAAGAATCGCGGGGGCGGGTGTTAACAATAAGAAATCTTAATTCCAAAATATAGCCTCTAAAAACTCCAAATTTGGTTCGAATATTTTATTTCTCGTGTAGAGATCATCTCAAAACGAATTTCAATAAAGTCTACTCCCGATAAAGATTACGGGGGTGGGTGTTAAAATCTGACATTTTAATTTCCAAACTGCAACTTCTACAGACTCCAAATTTGGTAGAAATCTCCGTGTATAATGTCAAGTTCAACTGAGAATAGATTTTCTCGGGTTCTAACTCCAAAAGGGATTGCGAGGGAGTTAACAATGAAAAGTCCCCTTTTGTAATAGCTCTTATAGAATCCAAATTTAGTAAGAATCTTCTATATGTGATGTAGAAATAATCTAAGCAAATTTGACGACGAATAACCCCCAATAAGGATTACGGGGGTGGATTTAACAATAAAAAAATCTTAATTTCCAAAATATAGCTTCTAAAAGCTGTAAATTTTGTAGGAATCTTTTATATGCCATGAGGAAATCATCTCAAAACAGATTTCAAAAAATTCTACTTCCGATAGGGATTGCGGGGGTAGGAGTTAAAATCTAAAATTTTAATTTTCGAACTGTATCTTCAATAGACTCCAAATTTAGTAGAAATCTTCGTGGACAATGTCAAGTTCAGCTGAGAATGGATTTTCTCGAATTCTAACCCCAAAAGGGATTGCGGGGGCGTTAACAATGAAAATCTCCCATTTTCAAACAAGAGTTTCTATGGACTCGAAGTTTTGTTGGAACCTTTTATTTATAATATAGAAATCATCTCGAATAGGATCTTACGAAATTCTTCCCAAACATAGGAGTGCAGGAGTGATAATTGTCAAAAAATTCATATTCTTCAAATACAATTCCTACAGATATAAAATTTAATAGAATAATAAGAGAAACAGGAAATTACAGGGATGGCCTTCAAGGTCAACCGATTTAAATATTTTTTTCTTCGTGTCAATCATTGTGCATTTTTGGAAGATAGCCACGGGAATAGTATAGTGATTGCACATTGAAAGTTACAATGAATATTAGCCAGAATAATTACATAGATAAAAAGTACAGGCCAATCCAATGGAATTTGGAATCTGTGCAAGTCAAAATAATACTCCAATTAAATTTCAAGTCTAGATCTAAAAATAAAATTCTATTCAATTCTAAATATAATTTTGAGTGCCCAGCGGAGCGGGCGGGTAACAGCTAGTGATTAATATTCAAGTAATTAAAAGATGTATTAATAATTTAAATTTTACAAATTGAAACATTATTTTAATAACTTTCAAGTATTCATAATACTAAAAATTTATTATCAATTTCAACATTTTTATTACAACAAACAGTTCAATAACACTATTTGTAACGTTCTTTGTAGGTATTAACATTTTTCACGGATCTCGAAACTGGACATATTCAATCTTTTTGGAATTATTAAGTTCAAATTAAAAATCGAATTGTTTGATAAGTTTAAGAATGATATCTTTTTAAAAATCAAGGAAATTGTTTCACTCATTTTATTTTATTTTTTTTTAAATAATGTTTGAATTCATAAACTTATCAATTTTCCGTCAAATACTTCTGAAAGCTCATAAAATAAGCTATAATTTTAATGCCTTTAAATTGTTATTAAGTTCAAATTATCTGGTGATTTGAAAAATTTTATTTAAATAATAAAACAAAAAAATTTGTAAAGAAATATCATTTATATTTTCTTGTAAAAACTAAAATATTCTTTTAGTACTCACATCTAATGCTGTATCCCAGTCAAAATTATAATCTCGAAGACGCCTTTGTTTCAGGTCATTAATAATTATAGCCGATATTCCTAGTATGTCAGTGCTTTGATCATTTGAATCAGGGTTAACTTTCGTGGCTGTAATGTATCATTATATTAAATTATAACTTTTTTGTTATATATACATATTATTATGTATATTTATGCTTACTGTTTAACAGTTGTTGTTTTTTTTTAACGACCTCATAAGCTTCATCCAAAAAATTATTTAAAAATACAGCAGTACCTTTTCTAGTACTCATGCCTATTATTTTACCAAATTGTATATGGTGTATATTATTTGCCCAAGTCATATTTAATTTGGTAAAAATACTTTTTAAGCTTGTAAAATGATTATGCTGTGATGAATCAACAACATAGTACATATCATCAAAACTATACTTATTAGCACGTTCAATAGCAGCAGCAATATCTCTAACTATATATAAGGTTGAACCGTCACTTTTCATTATTGGAATAAGTCTATCGTTAAGAGATACAACTTTTCTACCTTTTGAATCTGTTGTAAGAATCTTAGAATCAGCCATAAGTTTTAGCACGGGGTCAATATTAGTACGGTTGTATGAAGATTCCCAGTTATATTCACTAAATTCTACACCAATACGATTGTAAGTTTTTTCCAACTCGTTGACAGTATATTCCTTAAAATGTTGCCATTGATTAAAATAACCATCATTTCCATTTTCTAATTGTCGAAAAATTTCCCTCGCTTGATCCAAAATTTGATCGTCAGTTTCAGCTAGTTTGTTAGCGTAAACGTAAGCATTGTATAGTTCTTCTATTGGATTATTTTTAATAATTTCATCAGGTTTATTAACTAAATTCATACCCAATATAATTAAACCTATTTGAGTGCCCCAATCACCTAAGTAATTTAACTTGATAATATTGTTATTAAAAAATTTATTAATATTCGAAATGAAATTTCCTATGATTGTTGAGCGTAAATGGCCAACATGAAAAGGTTTTGCGATATTTGGTGAACTAAACTCAACAACAATTTTCTTGGTATTGTATGGCAGAGATGGAGCAACAATTTTGAATGAATTGCTCTGTAATATTATTTTAATAAAGAAATCTCTTTCAATATCGATTGAAGCAATGTCATTGTTATCTTTTTTCTTCAATTTAAAATTTTTCAGTGGAATATCCCATTTCTTATTAATAACTTTGTGCATATGATTCTCAAAATTATAAGCGTTTGTTTTTATGGGAAATTCAAATGTAAATCTGTTATTTGTGTTACGTTCAAGGCACACATGCCATGAAAATATTTTTTCAGGAATGTCAGCATATTTGAAAATCTAAAACAATAAATTTAGTTTTTATAATATTCTGGATATTGAGTTTGGATATTAAATTACTTTAAATAGAATGAATTAAATGTATAACTGCTATTAATATTTAAATTACCTCTTTGTGAATTAAACGTCGTATTTGATAGCTCATTGTTAGTTTCTTATATAATCTAGACTCATCGATAAAAAATATGATTATCTTTGAGATATTTTTTTCATTATATTATTATGGATAAAACAACAATAAACTATCTAAAACTATCTAAAGTAAAATTAAAAAAATATGAAAACAACAATACGGTTCCTAAGTAATTCAGGTTATACGCAAACGCAAAAGACCGGGAACGATGTCGTAGTTTTGACATGTGATATACTGTATTTAAGTATATTCGTGTAAACTATAAGGTGGGAGCGGTGAAGCAGGGTAGCATAAACTTCAATAATCCCATAATAAAATTGAGATGAAATGTATGTGAAACCAATTTATTCGTGATGTAATTGGTCGAAAATAAATATTCTCATTCTGATTGGTTGAAAGTGAATATAATATACATAAATGGCACATAAATATATCATGACAATAAATATGACACGCACGCTTGCGCGCGAAAATTAAATTCTAGTATTTTAAATTATTGATAAACTGTCAGAATTGACTAACTTTTTAATCACAAAGAAATTATTGCAATTTTTCATTTAGGTCCAGTTTTTCAATCCAGAATGAAAGTTTTATTATTATTGCTAGTATATTTATATATATGAAATATATAGATATATTTTATCATTGGATAAAATTTTATCCTGGATTGAAAAACTGGCCCTTAGGAGTGCTGTAAAATAGTTAGAATTATTGTTATAATGCGAAGCATCACAGTGTGCTTTACGATCGAAAAATTCTGTTTGTCTCTTTTTCGCTACTGTTTTTATGTTACACTCTCGTTAGTCCACGGAACAACTAAATTGCACATAATCAGATAAAGAATTGAATAAGGAATAATTCTTTACTTTTGAAGACCGATTTGATGTGTTAAGAACCGAAAAAAACATCAAAATATAAAAAAAAAAAATTCCCGTCAAGCAGTAAAAAAAATGTCCGTAACCCGTAAACTTAAAAACTTGAGAAAAAGCCCATTATTATGGATGAATTTTTTTTTTTAATTGTTTTAGGGTTGAATAATCGCAGAACAACAAATGGCTATCAGATTCGATCCCGTTTAATTATAATGGGCGTGTTTGGCCGAAGTAAGTACTTACTAAATTTAGTAAGTCATTTACTATACTTACTAAATTTTCGGCCGGGACAGAAAATAAGTGCTAACGCAGTAAGCATGGCTTAATATAAGACGATTTTTCGTTTATTATTGATGTAAACAAAACAGACCGAAGCATATAGAATTGAATTTATATTGGTTATTCTATGCAATAAGATATTTAATTACTTTCTTTGATAGAAAGCTTTAAGAGGTACTTGAAAAGATCTTTTTCATTATATGAGATGTTACAAAACTATACTTTAAATTAATTTGAATTTTTTATACTTACACAGTGTAGTTCAGATTTTAATTAATTTTTTTATATCTTTTATAACAAATGTATAGATAATTCGATTAAGAGAGACTGCTTATTTAATTAGAAAAAATGACTGACGTTAAATATCTATTGTTATAGATAGTTAAGTATATTTGATAACAATTAATATAAGCAGTTAATACAAGCAAAGAATTGTTGATAGTATTATAACTTATGACAAGTTTCACAAATATCATTTAAAAGAAGAGATCTATGAGTATGACAAGACAGAAAAGAAATGTATATTTTTTAAATTCAATTACTCTATTGACTGTTTGTTTCAATAATCGTTAAAATTTATATTACTTATTCTTAATATAAGAGAAATAGTAATCATTGGTTCATACTCAATCTATAGTTTAAATGTTATGTTGATTAAGGGGTCGTTTAACTTTTCTTCCAATTAAATATTTCTCATTAAATTGTCCATATACAATAGGGTGGTCGTTAAAAATTAAATTTTTTGCGGCGCCCCCTAAAAAGCTTCTTTTTGATAAAAAAACACTGGGAAATTTTTTTTTTTTTTT